GAACCCGGGTCACCTAATTGAAAGGTGAACACTCTATCGCCACCCAACCAGGTTACTAAATATAATAACGACCGACCCGCGATGGGTCAGAAGACAGAGCACTTGCCTCCCAATGAGGTGACCAAGGTTCGAATTCTACGATCGCCAGTCGATTCAAATTCTGCTGCCGGCTCACATAACTGATTTGTATCAATAAGTGATTTGAATCAGTGATCCGATTCACTTAAAAGAATTGATTCTACTGATTCGAATCCTTTCCATAATTCGTTTTACCCTAACTCAAAAGAGTGACGTCATTATGGCTCTCTCCTCATTTAATTGAAAGAATGTAAAGAGGTAGTTACTACTAAAGATATCTATAAAAAGATTGAAACGACACGCAACACTCTAATTAAAATTATTTGTTTAATTCCATAAAGTTGGCAGTCCATATTTTTCCTGCGAGTTTCAAGACAGTTCATGGAATGTAGTTGTGGAATGGCGACCATTTTTTGTAGTTTTGAGCCAAACATGCACTGCTGAAAACTTCGGTAGATGATTTAGTTGGCGACAAGAAATCCCAACTCTGGCGTGCTCGTAATCGCTAAAATTGCGAGTTTCGCGAGTTCATTTCGCTTATTGAAGAGTGTTCTTGTATTATACCATAATATCGAGTAGATTTGGTGTAATTTAAATGATGCTCCAAGAAAAAACATATCATTATACAATTTGAACAAACAGAACGAAAACCTGGTTCAACTTAACACACTGCTTATTTGGAAATGTTCAAAGTTTGACTGATTTTTCTGAGAGTTATTTGTAGCATTTAAGACTTATAGATTGTTGTTCAATTGTTAAATTGAAAAGTTTTTAACTTAAAATTTCTCATTGCTATGTTTAATCTTTTTTAATGAGGACACGAAAAATTTGATGAAACTTTATTCTTAATATTTTTTTAAATAGTATGCAGCCTGTTCGTTCACTTGACATTTCTACCCCCCCCCTAAAAGTCTACATTCCCCCCTCAAAAAATAATGCTATAATTAGTCCACATTCTAAATTGATCATTTACCAACTCCCTTTAGCGAAATAAAGTAGTTTTTAAATATAAGGTCGATCAGATTTGAATGTATTATCATCAATGAATTTCAATGCTTGTAACCTCAAACCCAGCACTGCCTTTCTAATGCAACCGATGTTCTATTAGTAATAATGATTCTCGTAATATTTGTGTGTAATAATGAAAAATCCTGAAAGGAATTATACGTTCAGAATTTTTTCTAAACATTATTCTAAACATAATTTTTTCTAATAATTCAGAATTTTTTTCGAGCAGTATTTCATAAAATATTAAAAAATAATAAATATATACTAAAAAATATTTATTGCGTGGAATAATCTTTGGATAAACGAATTTTATAATTGAGTGCAATTATTTTTTAATTCGCTTAGAAAGTTCTCGAGATATTGTTAAATACGCAAAAAGTATAATTAACATTAAGGGGTCCAAACTTTGTATCGCTCTCCTGACCAAACTATAGGGACCATATTTTTCAGATTGTGACTGCCCCCTGCATTTTGGGGGTCAGAAATCCGAATCCGTTGAAGCAAAGATATGTTTATTCAGAGAAAGTACGGTTTTGCGTCTGATTTTGTAACTTAAAATATCTCCTGCACCAAATTAGCATATTTGAGGCTCCTCCTTTGATCCATTAAGATTGAGTTCTAGAACGCGAAGATCAAATTATTAGATCAAAAGTTATTCAGGGTGGTATTTTTTTCCGGTGCACTGTACACCATAAAAAATTCTATAAATTACAAACAATTTTAATTCTGTTTTCTTACATTTAAGATAATTTATCAATTGCTAAAAAAGAGAACAATATTGAGAAAGCAGTAATTTTTTTCCAACATACTTCATTCATGAGACATAATTTTTTAATAATTTAAAGAAAGTAAGGCAAGAAATAGATCGAATCATGTTAGTTAGATGGTAATATAATAATAATAGATTAAATCAATTTGTAAAAGTTTTTTACGAAAGAAATTATGTTAATAAAATGTAAAATCCTTGTTTGATTACTGTTCTTAACTTACAATATATTCTACATTTCAGGATCGGATGTAAATATGAATCGGATTTTTCCATATAAACTCAATTTTAATGATCCGAAGTTATAAATATAATATTTTTAAAAAATTCAATCTCTCTGGAACTGTTTGACTGACGTCGATCAAATTTAGTATTTAGCTATATAAAATTACATTCTTTAAAATGATGTAAAAATTTATATACCCTGAAGTTCAAATTTTTTTCGACTATTAATAAACGAAATATTGAAAATTATCTTTTGCATTGAATTATGCTTAGATAAAGGAATTTTATAATTCTGAGCAAAAGTTTTTCAACTTTAAATAGAATTGGTTTAAGGCGACAAAGGACTTTAAATGTTTTTGAAATTATCAGAGGATTGGTTTGAAATTTTCAGTATAAGTTTATATTCTTAAAAATGACTCATATGCAAAATTAAAAAAAAACATAGTAAAATTTAAAAAATTTAAAAAAATTAAAATTTAGAATTTATATTGTTTTTCTTAATATTATTTATTACGTCTGAAATTTTGTTAAAATGACAAAACTCTTTCAAAATATTATGTATTAAGTGTCATAAAAAAATTATTGGGAGAATTTTTTTCTATTTTTTACTATGAAAACAAATAACAGTAAAAAAATAGTCGAGAACTAGCATTTTTAAGAAGAAAAAAAATCATTAGATTGCAATAAAATATCAATAATAATTTAATATTACTAACTAAATTAAAAAAAAATTCCAAAAAAGTGTTAATAACATTTATAACTATATAGTATCAAATTTTCAGCTCAATGGAATAAAATTTCATTTCCCCAGAACAGCTCGAAATTCGTAAATTTGTCAAAAAGGACATTTTGAGAAAAATGGCTTTTTCCAGTTTTTTATTGCAAATTCTACTTTTGAACAAATATTTCATTTTTTTAAACACAAATAACTATAAATATGATGTTATGAATTAATTAAATAATTAAATGTTTTTAAATTTAAATAAAATTAGCACAATTTTCAAGAACAAGCAAAAACATACTTGGGTATACAGCTAGCTGCAGACAAGAAAATCTAAATAAAGGTGCGTGCTTAGAACAAAAATTTCCATACCTTCGTCAATTTTTCTAAGATTCAAAAAGTCTTTGCTTCGAAATGTTCAGTCAAATAGCTATATTTCAAAAATACAAAAAGTAGAAAATCGATTTTTCGACGTTCATTTGAAAGTCCCTTGCTTTAAAACGTTTTTTTTTTAAGTCAATGATGCCTTTATTAAAAAAAAACAAAAAAAAAGAAACACTGGAGCAGAACAGTATTCCAATCACAAAGTTTGGTTCCAAATTTGAATTTATTTTTTTATTAAAGACAAGTTGCAAAAGAAAAAGAAAATTAAAAGTGAGTTAGTTTATTATAATGCGCCTTAATATTTTTTTTAATAATTAGCTTTGATTACATGAATTATAATTCTGAAATTATTATTATGTACTTTTGAACTTTGAGGGTATATACTGCTTTGCGGATCATGTTAAAAGTCCTAGATTTTATTTATTTGTTATTTGAATAGATGTAAGCTGTAAGCTAGATTTTATTTATTTGTTATTTGAGTATATGTAAGTTGTGAGTTAGAATTTGCATTATCGTTTGTTACGGTTATATTAAAGAACAAATTTTTGTGTAAAATAAAAGTGTTATGTTTCTTGTTTTTCGTAAAATGGAGTAAGAATAATTTTATTTTAGTTAAGTAGTAGTTTTCCAGTAGAAACCGACAGAATATTGCACTTTCTGGTACTACTTTTATACTTTTGATTGCGATTTTGTATTAATACTGGAAGAAATTATCCATTTTTTAAAAAACTTAATTTAGTTTAGAATTTATTTCAACATTTTCTTCTTTTTCGTATAAATCTTCCTAAGTTACGAGAATAAATAAATCTTAAAAAAGTTTAATTTAAATTTAGAATTCATTTCGGTATTTTCCACTATCATACAAATGCTCATAGGTTGCGCAAATAAGTAGTTCTCTTAAACGTATAATTCATTTCAATTTTTTTCATTATTACATACAAATGCTACGAGAATTATTATTGCTAATAGAACATCGGTTGCATTAGATAGGCTGTGCTGGGTTTGAGATTACAAGTATTGAAATTCAATAGTGATAATACATTCAATTGTGGTCCACCTTTTATTTAAAAACTACTTTATTTTTCTCAATAGAGTTTGTAGATGCTCAATTTAAAAAGAGGACTAATTATAGCATTACTTTTCAAACAGTTACTCTCCCAACATAATTGGTAAAAATAGTCAAACATATAATTAACCACGTTCTTTCACTTGGTTGCTGAGGAAAAAGTTTAATCAGTATACAGTATATTCCCTAAACATATATCACGTTTAGAAATAGAGAAATAAAAGTTTTTAATTATAATTGGAAATATTAAGCTGAGTTTGCAACTTTATGTTAGTTAATTATTGAATGTTTGAGGGTTTTTTATTTAATAAATTCTTTTGTAATTTTCTTGTTAATTAACTATGCATTTTTTTAAAAAACTCGATATGTTTAATGTTTTTATTTGTTGTCCTTTTCTAAAAGATTCCGAAGAAAAAATTTATGAAATATTTTGGAGAAATTTCTTGTCAATTTGAATGACGATGAATAAAAATTTCATCACATTTATTAAGAAGAATTTTTTTTTTCCTCTGTTTAGTTTTAAAAATGTATAATTTCATATTTAAAATTTTAAAATCAATCGTTTTTTTACGTTAAGATAATATCGTTAAGACAATATCAAAAAAATTTTTTTTTTATATTTTTCCAAAAAAAGGAAAAAAAAATACTATTGAAAATTTTTAAGATGTAATAATGAAATCATGAATAGTTTTTTAATTCAGTAGATTTAAAACCCTTTAAAAAATAATATATAATTTATAAGTGACGTAAATTAATAACCATTACTCTGCGGGCAATGAGAGTTTTAATTTTAAAATCAAAGCCTTTAATAATCGTGAAAATATATTTCCTATCCACTTTTATATTAAACTTTAAAAAAATTCCAATCAGTTTTTCAGTCAAACTTGGATACTTTCCGGGCAATGCTCTTTCAATTTAATAAATGTAACAACCATTGTTTAATGTTAAAGGTCACTTTCTTAGAATCCGCATTCTGAACAAGTTATAGCATGTAATTGCAACTCGCATGCTTTTAGCCATTACATTAATGTCGTTTGAATATTCTATAAAGTTCCTTACCAATAGGTAGTCCATTTGAGCGTCAGAGATAAAATTCCGGAGAACTGGGATTACTGGCTGCTCCTACACTGGATACACTTGACATGGACCTTGGGTCTCCTGCACAGTCTCTCAAAGCGTGGAGTTGTTGCCTGTAAAAGTCTCTCTCCTGACAAGCACGTTCCAGTTCTTGTCTTAACCTGGCCATTTCTCCTTGCAGTAGCCTGTTGCGGGACTCGAGCTCGTGTCTTTGTGCGAGTCTTTTGGTGCGACAGTTTTGAGCGTATCCTCTGTTTTTGAGAGTGCGCCGCTTCTGCTTCATCCTCACTACCTCTTCTCTCGGAAATCCGTGCAGCCTCTTGTTCAACTCCCGCACAGTTAAGGATATCAGTTGGTCATCGTCAAGAATGTCTGATCCTCCGCCACGGTGACAGTTTGGGACACTGCCACCCAGAGTTGAAGTCGCAGAGCTGCAGCTGCCACTACTGCTGTTGCTGTTAGTGTTAGCTGCAGTCATCAGGTGATGATGCTCAATGTGATGATTGGGTCCTCCGCGCTGCGATGGGGGCACACCTTGAACCTCCGGATAATCCCTTCGACCACCGCCATTCGCTATAAGCCAAGCTTCCATGTCTGCGGCACATTGGGGGGGACGTAAATCCAGAGGTCCATCTTGATTGCCACTGGCACCACCATATCGAAGGTTCTGGGTCAGCCACAGCATTCCATCGTCCATCAGAGGTCCAGGAGTGTTGCCTGTCGGTACAAACGCTGGAGAGGGTGGCATTCCGTGGCATGGCGGCGTGTCCGGAGGAGTTGCAGCAGCCAGCACAACTGGCTTCCGTGGGCATGAAGATCCCATATTAGAGTTCATACCGTAGACAGGCTGGTGCGGATGATGGTGATGGGGATGGTCATTCATGTGCTGCATATTCATTCCATTGTGAGGGGTGGTACAGGCTCCGAGATTCACCCCCGACGAATACTTAGCTCTGTGCATTTCTTGTTTCACCACTTCTTCTAAGTGCTCCAAATCGAATTCGTGAACGTAGTCTACTCCAGGAGGATTCTCAGAATTACCTTCCATCATCGTAAAATATGAAGGCGGGCCCGTTGGGTCCGGTTGGGTCCAAACTCCCTCCGTAGTCGACAGAACGGCCTCTCCCGGCTACGTAACGGTAAATGACGGCAGAATGCACTGCCGGAGATCTTCGATGAGGTAGACTGCAGACGAACGGAAGAATCAATATTTGTCTTTTCGAAACATCGCCTTTTAAAAAATTGTCATTAAAATACTATTTCCAAAGAATGCTATCCTTGCTATCTTCTTCTTTCAGTTTTCGTGTTCATCGATTTATAAATTTGGTTAAAATATATCAATTTTTCTCTCTCTTTAATTTCCCACAATAGTCACAAACTGGAAAGTTAATAAGTCAATCATTTCGTCATTTATCACTGCTAATCGCATAAAAGATCGGCTGAATTTCATTCGAAAGAAGAGAAAAATCGAATTTTTTTTTCCTGACTAAAAATCAGTTCCTTAATTAAGAGCAAAAATTAGAATTTATAACCGATTTTTTTAATATTTTGTTTGTCATTTTTAAGTAGCCTCGTTTCCACTCATAAAAGAGCAAAAGAGAAGAGTGTCAACAATTATTTTAATTTTTAAGGGGGATTTTTTTTCCTTCTTTTTTCTGAAGTGTTTCGTCACCTCATCGAAAAATGAGAAAGGCCATTAGAGTTCATTCAATTGTTTTTTCCCCCACCTGTATCATTCAAATTCTTGACCGTCTCCCCTTTCTGCAGAGGGGGGAGAAGAAAGATACAGCAAATTATAATCTCAATTAAGACCCCGACATTGAGGGTTGCTCACTTCATCGAGTTTTTCCCCCTCTTCTCAGGTCGGTCAGATCTCGATTAGATCAGCATCCCCTTCTTCTATAATTCCCCCCACTCAAAGCAGGGAATGAAAAAAAAAAGTTTCCAAAATAAAATCTTCTGAACAGGCAGGCCTAACAGAAGAACAGAATCCTAACCACGAGTACCACAGTCTTAGAAATCATCGTGTGAGAGGGGAGCGAAAACCGCTACGGTTGCAGCTAAAGTCCCGCAGAAGTCAGCATTTTCTGTTCGTTCCTCTCGCTCTCTCACTTGGACGAAAACTTTTGCTGACTCAACTTAGCTCTGGATCCGGGACCGCTTGATATTTATGAAGCGCTTGACGTCACCCCCTCTATTCCAGCCAATAGAATGAATCCGACGTCATACCCTCCCCTTACTTTTGGGTGGGCTTAGTCCCTCTCCCCTTCATTCCGAAAAGGGGGGTGCACAAAAGTTCGTAACGCGCTTTTTGGACGTGACTATAGCGTATGGATGTCGTTTTTTGGAAGAATTATTCCTTCTTTAGATTCCACAAAAATTATTAAACATCTCAGTTCTTAAGGTAATTATTATTTAAATGCTTTCACTGTTTGATACAAAAATTCACTTTATGAACAGAAAAGCGATTTTAACGAATTGTTACAAATTTATAATTATTTTTTGACTAAATTTTTTTCCCTCGAAATAGCTTTCTTGAAAAAAAATTCGTCAGAACATATATTTAAAGGAAAAATATGAAAAATATTTAAAGAAAGTCTAATTTAGCATTTAAAATATTCGTTCTGAAGTGTTTCTAAAAGTCAATTTTTTTTCTTAATTTTTTTTTTAAAGTAATAATTTTAGAATATATTATTTGCAGAAATCCTTTAATACTTTAAAGAAAAATATAATCTAAAATTCTTAAATAATTGTAGGTTATTGTTTCTAAAAAGTTATTTTACTTTTACGTAAATTTCTTAAAGATTCAGAAAAAATATTGTTCGAGTTGGAAAAAAAAAGGAAAAAAAAATCCTCGCACATTTTTCATAATGTTCTATAATTTTTCATGCCTCAGAAATTTTTGAGAATAAATTATAAATTTTTTGTTCCTATTTAACCATATTACCGTTCAAATTTGCTTTAATATGGTGTTAAGTTTGCGACTCTATGTCAACTTGTATGCCAGTCAACTTGTTCGAAAGCATGGTTCAATTAAACACCTTATAAAGCTTGCACCGCATTAAAGCTCTAAGTATCGATAATATGATTCAACGTTATATAATCTTTTTTTTTTAAAGAATTTTATATGTAGCATTTTTTAAAGGGAAGTAATTTTTTTCAGAAATCTAGTCTTTCAAAACTTGAAACTCATCGTCATTCAGAAAAATCTCGCTATGTATTTAAACGAAATTAAGTTTAATACTAAAACCCATTCCTCGGATTAAAGTTTATAGTGCTTAGTTGTTATGATTTGATAAATTTATAATTTGTTCATTTATACTGAATGCAATGGTAATATATTTTCAGATCATTATTATCAAAACAAATATTGGTTGAATTTTTATGATACTTTTTTCGGAAATAATTTTTAAGAACGTTGGAAATGCTTACACATTTTAAATAAAGGAACGCCGTAAAGATATTGTTTGATATATTTTAAGCTCCTTTATTTATTTAGCATTTTAATCACTTTTATTATTACTTTCCTTATTTTAAATGTTTGAAAACCTAAATCTTTTGTTCGGAATATTTTGATGTAAAAAGCTAAAATAATCTAAAACGTGCAAACCTAAAACTGCAGTTTCAAATTTAAACCTAGAAGCTAATATAAATCTAAAATTTTAATTGAGAATATGTAAACGTAAAAGCTAACAGAAATCTAAAACTGCAGTTGAGAATAGTTTAACGTAAATGCTAACATAAATCTAAAATTGTAGTTGAGAATTGTTTAACGTAAAAGCTAGCATAAATCTGAAACAGTAGTTGAAAATATTTTAACGTAAAAGCTAACATAAATCTAAAACACTCACTGAGAATAGTTTAACTTAAAAGCTAACATAACTCTAAAACTGTAGTTGAGAATAGTTTGACCTAAAAGCTGACATAAATCTGTAAATTGTAGTATAATTGTAGTATAATAAATAGTAAAAATAAATTGTAGTTGAGAATTGTTTAACGTAAAAGCTAACATAAATCTGAAACAGTAGTTGAAATTTTTTTAACGTAAAAGCTAACATAAATCTAAAACAGTCACTGAGAATAGTTTAACTTAAAAGCTAACATAACTCTAAAACTGTAGTTGAGAATAGTTTAACCTAAAAGCTGACATAAATGTAAAACTGTAATTAGTTAAAAATATTTTAATTTGAAAGCGTACTATTTAATCTAAAATTGTAATTGATAATATTTTAACGTAAAACCCAGTATAAATAAAAAAAAACTATAGTTGAGAATATTTTAACTTAAGAACTGACATAAATCCAAATCACATACATTTATAACTGTAGTTCAGAATATTTTACCTATTTCTTATTCCTTTTAAATATCAAAGGATCCTAACGATAAAGTTCAGAATATATTCAGAATATATTTTCAATGATATGTTTCAATCGTTTCCTCAAATTAACGAATGTTATTAACTAATTCCAAAGCATACATAACAGTATTCATACATATCAGTATTTTTAGTCGTATAGCTAGTTTGGAAGAATAATTATTTAGTATGTTACTGAATATAAACAAAAATTGTAGTACTGCTGAAATACTGAAAAAAATACTGCTTTAAAAAAAATACTGAATAAATTTTAGCAAGTATTTTTTTTCTTTAAAAAAATACTTGCTAAAATTTATTCCATCACAAATATTAATAAGTGCTATATGATAATAGTATTTAAAGAGTTAATGTTTTAATTTTTCCAGGAAAGCGCATAAAATATCAATCTATAGAAATGATTTTTCTTAAATAAAGATCTTAATTTTCTAAATATGTTTGTACACTTTATTTATTATAATTGTTTTTCAACAGAACTCATTTAAATTCTGTTATACCCTTACTTTAGTTATTCGTTTAAAAAAATATTTCCACATTCATATTTTTTACTCCATCAGTTAATACGAATCTTGTTAAATACGTAAGTACCTTTCAACTTCGTCATAGCAAGGCTCAACTGTATTGGATTTGATAAAAATAAAAACCTTCAAAATACAGCGCTTTGGGATTAAGCTGGCATAAATCTTCACGAGCTGCAGGATTAATTTTCCTTCACCCATCGTCAAATCGAAGATTAAAAAATTTTTTTTTAAAAATTTTGGCTTCCTTACACGAGATTACGAACATTCCATAGACTTCTCTAGATGAGATTTATGTAACATACTGAATTAAATAAAAAATTCAAAACTTTTTGACTTCCCTAGACGAGATTACGAACATTCCATAGACCTCGCTAGATGAGATTTATGTAACATTCTGAATTAAATAAAAAATTCAAAAATTTTTGACTTCCCTAGACGAGATTACGAACATTCCCTAGACCTCGCTAGATGAGATTTATGTAACATTCTGAATTAAATAAAAAATTCAAAACTTTTTGACTTCCCTAGACGAGATTACGAACATTCCCATGACTTCCCCAGATGAGATTTATGTAACATACTGAATTAAATAAAAAATTCAAAACTTTTTGACTTCCCTAGACGAGAATACGAACATTCCCTAGACTTCCCTAGATGAGATTTATGTAACATTCTGAATTAAATAAAAAATTCAAAACTTTTTGACTTCCCTAGACGAAATTACGAACATTCCCTAGACCTCGCTAGATGAGATTTATGTAACATACTGAATTAAATAAAAAATTCAAAACTTTTTGACTTCCCTAGACGAGATTGCGAACATTCCCTAGACCTCGCTAGATGAGATTTATGTAACATTCTGGATTAAATAAAAAAATCAGAAATTTCTGACTTCCCTAGAGGTGATTACGAACATTCACTAGACTTCGCTAGATGAGATTTATGTAACATACTGAATTAAATAAAAAATACAAAAATTTTTGACTTCCCTAGAGGAGATTACGAACATTCCCTAGACTTCCCAAGATGAGATTTATGTAACATACTGAATTTTTTTTTATTACGTTGCACGTTTTTTATTGCTATGTACTTATTTTTTTTAATTTCCTTTCTTTATGTTTAGGTATAATAAATGGACATAAATTTTCTATACATGGAAGGAGCAAATTTCGCTATGTTCATTAAAAAAAACCACGTGAGTATGACATATTTTGTTGTTATTCATTAGTGCTTTAATTTGTTTGCCTTGATGATTCAGATGGTTCCCAAATAAAACTTTTCTGTTAAGATTATGAATATTGCTTCACTCTCCAAATGCAAGCAATAACAAAATAAAAAATTTAATAAAAATTTAACCAAAATTTAGAATATAAATATACTACGTAATGTTGCTTAAAACCAAAATATATAAAATTTTGAAAGCTGAGTACCAATTTAAAGCAAAGCCTTCTACCACAAATCTCTCATTTACTTCACAGATAATTTTTTTTTAACTATTTAGGTTCGGCCAATGATAAAATAAGCACTTTCCCAAGTTTTGAGGGGATAGAGCGATTTTCCCGGAGAAGCCTTGAGATAGTTTTTGATTAAGGACGTGTTATTGGATTAAAACGAAGGAGACTTTTTCAAGATTACAAACATATTTATGTAAGGTACGAGATGTAACTCTATTTTTGAGAGTTTGTGCAAGCAAGGAAAAAAAGGGCGGGAAAAGATTATTTTTTGCAAAATTTAAAAATAAAAAAAAATATGTAAACCTTTTTTTTTTCTAGATTAAGACAAAAGCAATATTTTTCTACATTGCTTTAGATCTGCACAAAACTTTAATTTGAAGCAATTGTAAAAATTATAAAACTGATTGCTTGGCTGTAATATTTTTCAGTATTTTATTTCAAAAGCTTGGGAGAAATATAATGATAAGCCACGTTTTCAAATTATTCAGGAGAGTGCTTTTAGAAAGAAAAAAAAGCACCATGATTTCCATATAATTATTGTGATGGTTCTATGTATTGTTCTGCTATTGTTCTACTTGTTAAGTACTTGCCTGGAAACAATATTAAGGGTCGGTTGGATGTAAAAACGTTATCGCATCGAGAGCTTTTCAATTGTAGATCAGTTCATAATCGTATGTAATAGTATTTTCTTACCTTCTTTGTTGCAAGAAATATTTGTCTTATTGTGTTTTCAATTTACTTTCTTAGTTCAAAAGAGTTTACTTTTTACTAACCACACATCTGTTTCTTTCCAAAATAATGCAACTTTCTAAAACCTAGTCAATGTTCCATGAAACTGTTATGTATATTATTCCGTTGTCGCGACTGCGTTATTGTTTTCAACACATCCGTCAACTACAGGATAATTTACACAGTTATTTCAATTGGTAATCTATAAAA